GTTAAAAAGATTTGAGATTTATTAGGGGATGTTTATTAAAGGTGTTTCTATGTTCTGTAGTTAAGGGTAGTTATCGTAAGGGTTATTATATTCTCATCCATGAGTTATAAAGGAGGTATGTTTCATGCATCGGTTATAAAGGTTGCAGTTAGTAAAAAAAGGTAGTTATAATTTCTGTGGATAAGGTAATTAAGATGTGGATAGATTGTGGAGGATGTTCTCAGTGTGTTAATAATATAAGATTATGTGTTTCAGCGTTTTGATCTGTTGCACGAAATGGTGGTCTCGTAATGTCGCACGCTGATTGGTCGAGATATCTAAGTATCAAATAATTAACTTAAAAGTGTGTGAAATCATAAAATACATGTGTGTCATGGCCTAGAGGCTTTCATATAAGCTCTCTGTACAATCTAAGTGAGTTTTATAGTATAAATAAGAATTTCAGGAAATGGCGTGTTTTGATTGGTTGAGAGTGTATGACATTAATTATTTGTTATAAAAGTATGTAAAATTGTTGTAGTACGTTTCAGGTGATTCTATATAATCCATTTCTTACAATTATTTCATAATATTCGCGATGTCGGTATGTAATGGTGCGTTCTGATTGGTCGAGAATCTCACAGTTTAACTAAATATTATAATATTAGGTTTGTTCGCGTTGCATGAACTTTCTGCACTTGCACTCTAGTGAGTTTTTTAGTTAATCTAGAGAGTGCATCGATTTTTGAAATTTTAGCTCGAACGACGAAGTGCAATTTTCGCCTAACCTGCTGACTGTGTCGTTGGCTGACTGCGTCTAACTGCTTGCCCGGTTTCGAGATTTCGAGGTGGCTTGAACTCATATTTTTGTTTTTATTCATATATTTGAACAGAGTATTCTATTTATCGTGTAAAATGGCAAATTTAAGTGAAATATTACAATTATTTGATATCTCCGATGATGAAGATGAATATTTTTTGCCTTTTGTAATTCCTGATATTTCTTTAATATATCCACCAGAAGAACATTGTAAGTATAAAAATATTTTACAAAATCTATTTTCAATAGATTTAGCTATCTAGAATTTTTAAAGAATTGATTTATATGCTTTATTTCAGGTTATATAATATTATATTTACTTGAACTTATAAATGTACAACGTGTACATCATAATAAAATTAATAATTACAGAGAACATACCGTCAGAAATTATATTAATGTTGATTTCACCATGCATTTTCGTTTGTCACGGAAAATAGCTTATGAACTTATTTCACGCTTTGAAATATCACACATTTTTACATCATTGCAAGGTGTTTTATTATAAATACTTTAAAGTACTTAATTTGTTTCAAGTCAATTTTACGATAATAAAATATTCATTTTTATTTAATTTAAAATTATAGAACATGCAGGATATGCACCAATAACAAGCGAAAAACATATCTTAACTTATTTGTGGTTTATTGGTCATGAGAGTGCAAGCTATCGAGATGTATCTGATCGATTTAATGTTACAATAAGTACATTGCATACAATTATATCAAGGGTAACAAAATTTTTAATGCAACTTGCACCACAAATAATAAAATTTCCTACGTTGGAGGAAAAAGAAGCAACGAAGACATATTTTTTGCAATTGAAAGGATTTCCTGGAATTATTGGTATATTAATAAAATGTATTTCTTATATATTAAATTGAAACATTTATAATCATTTTTATATAACATTTATTTTCAGGCTGTGTAGACGGTACACACATAAGAATTGACAAACCACAACAGGATCACGATTCATATATCAATAGAAAGCAATATTTTTCTATTCATATGCAAGCAACTGTTGATCATAACATGAAATTCATAGATGTTTTTATTGGCTATCCAGGATCCGTCCATGACGCAAGAGTATTTAAAGAATCTCCTTTATACGAATCTCTTCAAGAAATTTGCTCAGGTTAGCAGTAATCGACATCAATATAATTTTTTTAAATTAACATCAAAATAAATAAATCTTATTTTAGATGGATCTTACTTACTTGGAGATAGTGCATATCCATGCTTAAGAAATTTAATAGTTCTATACAGAGACACTGGACATTTAACTCAGGCACAAAGACATTTTAATCAAAGATTAAGTTCATGTCGTGTTAAAGTTGAAAACGCAATTGGTTGCTGGAAACAAAGATTTAGACAATTATATCATTTTAAGTTGCGAGATATCGTGCGTATGGTGCAAATTATACATGCTTCTTGTGTTTTACATAATTTAGCAAATATAGATGATTTAGATTTCTTAGAACCTCCACGTAACGATGAGTATTCGGATCCAGAAGCAGTAACAATACACGTTGAAAATGATGAAATAATTGATGGAAATCAGCATGGTCGTGAATTGCGAGACGAATTGTGTCGTCAACTATTTGCACGATAATATAACTAATATTATATTAAACTACTTTAATACTTACTTAATTTTACTTTTATATTAAACTACTATAAAATACTTTATAATTACTTTATTATATCACATACAATACTTTCGTTATACATAAACTATATTGTTATTACTAATTGTGTTTATTATACAAAAACAATAATAAATGTAATTATAATATTTTATCACAATGGTAACATATTTCTTATGATAATTATACATATAATTAACACACAAAAAATTAAACTTTGAAATACACAAAAAATATTGCTTGAAAAAGTTCAGAAAATAAAGGATAAAGATATTTAGAGTAAAAAAATTACAGTTTCCAAGAAAGTTTGTAATAACGGTCTTTTTATAACTGTGCAAGATACTTATTACAATAATGACGTTCATCTCAGTATATGATTTTCAATAATGAGTTTTGAAGTTACACAAAGAATCGAAGACAAATTTTATTATAGTAATAAAATAAAATAATACCGATTGAGATACATTAAAGATTCACTCTATGGATGCTTATCTACTTTTCTAAAATCTTTATTTTTCTTACTTTACTTTTATTATAAACTATATTGTTATTACTAATTGTGTTTATTACACAAAAACAATAATAAATGTAATTATAATATTTTATCACAATGCAATGGTAACATATTTCTTACAATAATTATATAATTGACACACAAAAAATTAAACTTTGAAATAACAAAAAATATTATTGCTTGAAAAAGCTCAAAAAATGAAAAATAAAGATAACCTAGAGTAATTGACTTATGTGTCTAAAATAATAAGACGTCTCTGTAATATATACGTGTAATATATATCTCTGCAACAACTTGAATAAAATTTAAGTCTCATTAAACTTAAAAAACTTTAAGAAAATGAAAAATGTCAATGTGGGTTACTTATATGTGTATCCAAAATAAAAACAAAATATTTTTGTAGTGCATCAAAGTAAACCTAACAGTCTTCGTTAAAAAATTTTTTGGTAATATCTTTAAGAAATTTATTTCTTTCTGCTCGTTGGCCATTGGTTATAGCCCATTGCTCTCTTGCACGTTTCATAAAGTCTTCTTGAAGTTCTTTAATACGTTTACACTCTTGAAGTGTTTGCGATTGAATATTTTCATAATTTTGTCTTTCATTTTTCATTTCCGAAATGAATGCATCTATGGCAACTTTACATTGTTTTAAAACTTCGTCTGATTTATTCGTACGTGATGTAACTTTATGTGAAAGTTTGCCTTTCTTTAATGTATCAATTGAAGTATCACTTGTATCTGTTTCTGCTTTGCTGCTTGATGCCACATCAGAATTGCATTGTGTGTTATTAACTGAACAATTTGACCTACATTAAAAGTATATAAATAGAATATATTTTTATATATGTATTATTTGTATTATATAATATTTTACTTACAAAGTGTCATCTGTTTCATTGGAATAATTTTCTTTGAGCACTAATCCATTTCGTCCTGATAAAGCAAGTGGTATTATATTATGTTTTTCTCCTAATAATTCTCTTAACTCGCTACAATGTAGAAGATATTTATATTATTAACATAATTTTAAATTATTGTTTTATAATATCTACATATCTAATTGTATCATATAACATAATTTATTTATCACTTACGTTTCATATTTGCAAGTTGTTCTTGCTCTACCAGTTTTTTTATTGTTACTGACCATATTTTTATATGATCGCATCAATGATTTAAATTTATTTTCCACTTGTAAAGGAGTTACTGCATAGCCGCTATGAAGCATTTCTTCTGCTATGTTCTTCCATAAATGTTTATAAGTTTTTATTTTTCTTGTATTTACTAGATCTTTTTTACGTTTGTAAATATCTAGAAATAATTTTGTTGTTGCATCAGTCCAAAGAAAAGAAACTGATGTATTTTCATTTTGGTCATTCTCTTTATTGCCCATCGATTGTGTCTCTTCAAATGATGATTTAAATAAATCAATAATGATTTCTGTATTGTCAACAGTAAAACTCAGAGTATTCTGAGAAAAGTCAATTTCATCAAATTTTAGTTGATAAATACTTTCATCTAAATAGAAAAAAATATATTAAATAAAAAATATTTTTATAAATTTATCGTTATAGAATATATTGTTGTAAGACGTGTTCTTTACTGTATATAAGCTAGTTGTATTTAATTACCTTCAATTACACATGGTACATATCCATTATGATCAATGATTATATTTCCCGTGCTTTCACGGTTTAAAAATCCATATTTTTTCATTGTACTATTTTTATTATAAATGTAAACTAGAAAAATTATTAATAACAAAGTAACATTAAAATAATTAGTATATATTGAAGTAACTAATCAAATTTATTAAAATTAATAATTCTAACCTATACTTATCTCGACGGCGTTCCGTAAATTCCCACTCTTTTATGAATCTTGCACCTTTGCTCTTCCTCAAGACCAAGGGCAAAAAGTGTTGCCCAAAGTGTAACTGCACTGGTAACACGAACAGCGATTATGACATCATGTCCGGCAACAAAAACGAGTTAGTGTACACTTAGTGCAAAAGTGTAAAAAGTTCATGCAAGGCGAACAAACCTATTGTTAAAAATCGTTGAACACATGTTGTGTTTCTATCGAGAGGCTTCTATATGAGCTTTCCTTGTAATATTACATATATTTATAATATAATTA